TGGAGGGGGTGCCTGCAGCAGGAACCCCGCGATGGATCCCAAGGGTCGGTGCTCCCCTGCTGGAGGGCCCCCAGAGCCGGGCATGACTGGGCGAGGCTGGGCCCCATGGGAAGCTACGTGGCTACGCCCTGCCGGGGAGGGGTCCGCTTGGCCTGGGGTTTCCTTCGCAGAAGCCCCACGGGGCAGCAGGGGATGCCAGCCGAAGGAGGGGCCTCGTGGGGCACCCGGGCAAAGGAGCTCAGCCGACTCCGTGGGGCCTCCTTGGACTCGATGCTGCTGCTGATGCTGCTGCTGCCACCGGCGGCCGGTTCTCCTGTTCAGAGGACAACACGCCCATTAGAGACCCTGCCCTCTTTCTGGCTTCCTCCCTGCCAGGAGGATGCAACCAACCGAAGGGGGGGGGCAGGCAGCTGAAGGATAACACACACACACACACACACACAGCCCTTTCAGCAGGTCAGGCCAGAAGGGGGCACCCCTGGGAGCTCCAGGGCACAGAGTTTCCGCTGCCTGTGACTTCTCTCGCTCAGACCCCCTTCCCCAGAGGGAGGGGCCAGGAGGCACCAGGGGCCTTTTCCTTGGCACCCAAATAGTTGCCCACCCCGGGAGCTGGCAAAGAGCGCGAGGCTCAGCGTGGGGTGCCCCATTGAAACAGCCATTGCGCCCCAGCCTGTGAGCCCAGGAAGAGCAGCACAGAATGCCCGCCTCCCGGGTGATGTTGGCGGGGCATAGCCAGCACAGCTGGGCCCCAGAAGGGATTTATTTCTGCCTAGAAGGAGCACCGAGGGATCTTATGTGGGCATCTGAGCAGATTCTGCTCCCCTTGGAAGCCGGATCTTGGGCAATTGGAGAACAGCTGCTTTCTCTGGGGGATGGAACATATGGAGAAGGGACCTTTAGAGACCATGTAATCTATCCCCCATACCTGGTCAACTGGCCCCTCCTGAATCCACCCCAATTTTAGGCAGGATTAGTCTCTCCCACAGCTGCCAACTGTCTTTTAATATTCATTCTCCTTTATTTTCATTTTGACCCACTGGTCCTCCTCCTCCTCCTCACCAGTCCATCTTTTAGATATATGTGGGCTGCCAATTCCCCAACACACACACACACACACACACACACACACACACACAGAGCTCTCTTCTAACCCTCCCCAGTTTCTCTGGGTCTGCGAAGGGGGCTCCCCAGGCTGATAAGGATTTGGGAAAGAGAACAGTAACCACCATCCCCCATAAAGCTGTGGTTGTCATGGAGCGGGGAATGTGGTGGGTGGGCGGCTGTTTCTTCTGCTCCCACCTCCCCTTCTTAATCCGCCTGGCTAGAGAGACTTGGAAAGAGGTCTCCCCTTTGGTTCTAGTCAGAGGTCAAAACCCACTGAAGAGCCCAGCCTGGCACAGGGGGCTCCACGCCCTCAAACCAGCCTGGTCGTCTGTGCGATTTGGCTCCGTGGTCCTGATCATGCAACTGGAAATGGCTGGGCCCGTCTCTCTGCAGCGCCCCACGCTCGGCTGGGGATCCCCATTTCTAGACCCTTCCAGCACGCATTCAAACTATTTCCAGGGGGGGGTGTAATACCTTGGTGGGAGGGTGCAAAGGAGGCAGAGGAAGCTTTTTCCAGGCCCCCACAAAAGGCCATCATCTATGCTGAAATCCTGGTCAGCGTTTGCAGTGCCAGTGCTGTCCTCTGGCCACCCCCAGCGCCCCCCCCCATTCTAGAACCAGCATCACAGGGTGTGGGCCTTATGTCACACAGAGCCACTGAGTGGCCACCGGTGGGTCTCTGCTCTGGTGGTCAGGTGGCCTGAAGTGACTGGGACCTCTGCCCCCCTCCCTCAACCCAAACCTTCAAGAGGTGGTGTTGAGTCCCCTTCGGGGGGAAAGGGCAGCATATAAATTTAATAAATTGAATTGAATTGAATTGATCAGGATTTGGTAAATCTCATGATTGGTCTAAAGATTCACAGGTGGAAGTGACAGCGATAAAATTCAGGCCTTAGCGAGTGTTCAGAGTTGCGGAGACCTTGATACGGGAATCACAAACTTCTAGCTGAACATGTGAGCATAACCACAACATGCGTGTGGAAGTATTTTTGTAATGCCTGAAAGCTGTGCTCCTCTCACGTAATCCAGAAACCTATTTAGGACGTGTCAAGTTTTTAAACTTTCAATTTCCAAGCATTAGGGGTGCTCAAAAGTTGTGAGGTGCCTTGGGGATTGTAAAAATACTTCGGTTACTTTAATATAATGTGCTTGGCTAAGTAACTACATAAATATCGTAACCTTTTAACATTTTGTTCATTTCATATATGCTTAAAATTGCATTTGGGGTCCTCCCAGCCTTAGGGGGGATCCCACTTTTGTCCAGCACTGAATAAGCGTGTGGCTAAGAGAGCACCTGGACTCTGCCACACCTGGTCCCGGCCTGTCAGGGTGAGCCCAGCCGGGGTCCTCCCTGGTGCGTTAGAGAAACGGGGGTACCAACGAGAGGAGACCGCCTCCTGCCAATTACCTCCCTTCGACCTATTAGATCGCACAGATTGGGCCTCCTCTGAGTTCCATCCGCCAGTNTTCTATGACACAGAGAAACAACACAGTCTAATTCGGATATTTGGGGTAAAATGGCTGCTGTGGTACTAAAAGAAGCAGAATTCAGGAGAAAGAGCCCACAGAAGTTTCGACAAAATTTCAGTACCGTTATCAACTAAATCAAACAAAGTTAGACTTAGCGTGCCACGTGAATTCAGTGGAATGAACTTTGCTGGGTTGCTACCTAAACTCATTTCTGTTACGTAACTCGCCTGGTGTACAATACTGTCCTTCTTTCCCCTCCTTCTCCCCTAGGCTTGGTTATGGCAATGCAGTATCAATTCGTACCACCAAATGAGGGCGATTTTTCCGAAGACTATGATGTCATCACCAATGAAGAGATTGAAGAGATTAAGGATGCTCTTGAAGAAGGGAGAATGGACAAAGCCGTTGCCAAGATTATGGAAAACCTTCAGTCCTTGGAGGATACCTGCTTGAACATAGCAGTGACGGGAGAATCTGGCTCGGGGAAGTCCTCCTTTGTCAATGCCATCCGAGGGCTAGGAGATCAGGAAGACACTTCTGCTCCCACTGGGGTGGTGGAGACCACAGAGAAGCCCACACCTTACCCACACCCCAAGTACCCCAATGTCACCCTGTGGGATCTACCTGGAATTGGAACGCCAACATTCCGCCCCAGCACTTACCTGCGGCAGGTTCACTTCTCCCGCTACGACTTCTTCATCCTCATCGCCTCAGAGCGGTTCAAGGCCAGCCATGTCCAGCTGGCAAAGGCAATCTCTCAGGTGGGGAAGAAATTCTATTTTGTGCGCTCCAAAGTGGATGCAGACCTGGAGGCCAGCAGAAAACGCCGGCCGCAAACTTACAATGAAGAGGCTATACTGGGACAGATGCGAGAAAATTGCCAGAAGTGCTTACGGGATGAGAATATGCCCGATTCCGAAGTCTTCCTTGTCTGCAACTGGGAGCTAAATAAATACGACTTTGTGATGCTGCAGGAAACCTTGGATAAGGAATTGCCAAGCCATAAGAGACATGCTTTTCTCCTGGCACTGCCCAACATGTCTCTGGACATCCTGCAGAAAAAGAAGATGGCTTTACGGGCAGAGATCTGGAAGGTGGCGATGGTCTCGGCTGGAGCGGCTGCTGTCCCTATTCCAGGCCTCGGGGTAGCCTGTGATGTAGCCCTCCTGATCAAAAACCTCTCAAAATACCTCAAGAGTTTTGGTCTGGATAGGGACTCTCTTGTCAGGTTGGCTAAGAAGGCCAACAAACCTGTGGAGGAGATCACAGAGGTCATACAGTCGCCTTTAGCTAAAGAGATCTCCAAAGATTTAGTTCTAAAGCTGCTCACCAAAGCTGGCGGCGGGGCACTCATGTTTATGGAGTATTTTGTCAGCCCGATACCCGTCCTTGGTTCCGTGGCAGCTGGAGGGATCTCCTTCGCTACCACATTCTACATGCTCAAGAGCTGCCTGGATGAGGTGGCCAATGATGCTCAACAGGTTTTCCTCAAGGCTTTTGAATCTGAGCTCTGAAGGAAGTTAGACCATGCGTGACCCGTCAAAACCGCGGTCCACTAAAGCGCGCCCGATTAAAGCGCGTACATGACATCAGCAGCAGCGCAACAAATACGACCATGGGAAAAAAAGGGCGCTTTAAAAAGNAATTTGGCTGTTCCAGCAGGCCTGGGGCTGTTGACCACACTGTTGAGGTCCAGCCCCGATTAGAATGAATGTATTAGGTGTTGCTATTTTAAATCGTTGTTTTTTTTTTGTTGTTGTTGTTATGTGTTCATTATGTGTCTTTTTCCCTCTTTTCTGTAAGCCGCCGGAGTCCTTCGGTCCTTCGGGATTGGGTGGCATATACATTTTATAAATAATAAATAAATAAATAAATAATAAATAAATAAATATATATATCTTATATATAAGATTACAAGGAAGAACCTTACCTCTATGGGTAAGACCAGCTCTCTGATCAGACCTTTATTCAGTGAGACAAGGCTGGGGAGAGACCTTATAAGATGAAGGTGTGCTTTTGTTTCTATTTGTGAGGTCCTTCACATAAGTAGCCCATGCAGGGGACATTGATTTGAGAAATTAAACTGTTCCATACAAAAATCTTTAAGACATATTACGGGCCTGCAATGTGTATATACTATTCATAGCATAATGGGCAATCTATACATTGATGAAGCTTAACCAAGATTGACCAGTGTCCTTTTCATGTGATTCTTCAATATATGTTAGGTCCAAAATTGTGAAGACTGTTTCCTTTCAGATCCACACAATAATCAAAACTAAGAATTAAGTGAGGGGAGGGGTACAGCTTTATTTAGAGGAAACAGAAGCATGTTAAATAAACAGTCTCCCCCACCCCGCATGTTGAAAGTGCAAAAGATTCACATTGTTAAGCATCTAATGGAACATTACTCACTTATGTACGTAAAATATATTTTGCAATAACATTCTCTGTATTTTCATGGAAGCTCATTATTTTCAGACGTATAAAACTAGTTGAGCAGCAGTCTTAGTGAAATATACGGATTGCCCATGAAAAACATCGATTGTCCATAATCACAGCTACTCTTCCTACACAAGATGTTATCCAATGCATCCACATTAATTAGCACACTTTTTATGAACAGAGAGACAAAGGAACAGAGAAAAAGAGGTTCAGATTCAAATGGCTTTATTTTCCTCAATGTACAGTGCATATAACATTTCCTCTTTTTAGCTCAGTCTGGCACACCATTGTATTAGGTGAGTTTAGCAAAGATATAACAGGCTTGGTAGCACTGGTATTTTGCTGCTTTGTAAGAAATCTCCTAGATAGTTGCATTTAAAAATAAACCCAAAAACAAATATATCATTCCTATTTATTTTGATCTTCACTATAAATCCAGGTAAGCGGATTAAATAGTTTAGTGATTGTGGAAGACCGACATATCCCATTCTTTTGCTCCAGGGTTCTTTGCAATCCAGGAATAAACTCTGCACATAGTCCTAAATGTTAATCCTTGGTAAAATGAAATATCTCTGCCTTGCAGCTTAGACTAGATAGGTTCTAGATAAACAAAAGGGGTGATATTTAAACAGGTTTTAATGCTATTCCTTGATATCTGTAGGACTTTATTCCAGTTAGCAAATCCAATAAAGCCACAAGCTTTAAATAAACAGGATAGAATTTTTTCCCTATTCAAAATTATTTGAATCACTTGGTTTAGTTAACAGGGAGAATTGTATATTTTTTAGAGATTTTGCTCTGTAGTATCAGTACACTGGACACCCACACATAAAGGATCAGATCTGATTCCTTTAGTTTCCATTTAAGAAATGATTAGCAAGTTTAAGAAAAAATTATAAGACATCTGTGGATATATGCTCACATCACCAATTGGCTTGATAACAAAGAAGACCATTATGATTAAAAATAGGATTCTTTGCAACTGCACCTTCTCACAGTGTGCCCATAGCTAGGACAAAGGCAGTTGTGATTGATTGAAATCTACTTCATTTGAAGAATTATATATAAAAAGGCTTTTATTATAATAACATGTTCCTTAAAAATCCATTGTAATATTTTCTAACGATTCAAGGATTCCAATTCACCTGTGGCCTCCACTTAGAAAACCTTTTTAAAAGGAACATGATAATGCATCTTGAAATCTTTTTATAAACTTTGTGTGTTTTGTTACAATATACAGTAGAGATGATTTATATTCTATAGATCCATGATTACATTTTTTGACGCGCCCTATTTACTTAATAAAAAAGCAAAATGTGAGAAGGCCCATATTTTGTCTGTAGATAGATGTCCAATTTTTAAAAAAATATGAAAGACTAAAAGGTGAGAAAACAAGATCAGCAGCAAAAAGAGGCATTAAACTGAAGCACTGTTCTCGGATTTTCATCATGTCAATTTCCAATAGAAATGCAAATAGGGTATCTGCTGTCTGAATTAATGCTAGTTTCCAATTAGGTCCACTGTCACACAGAGGTGAAATGTCTGATATATGTAGAGGCCAAGAAATTGGAAAAAAGTAAAATCAAGTTTTGGTTCTACCTCCTCTAACCACTGCAATAACATAACAAATGTCTTCTGTTTCTCATGAATGTGATGGAATATAGAATTAATAATCAGATATCATTTCTGGATTAGTTCAGTGAGACATGCTGCATAACGTATATTTTACTAAAGTGAGAACTGCAGATATGATTTTCTAGAGACTATGCTGAGACTCTACTGTCATGATGGTGAATCTATGGTATGCATGCTGGACGTGGCATGCAGAGTCATATCTCCAGGCATGTGACTTGCGCCTGTTGCTCTTCCAGGTTCCAGTGCACTGGACAGCTGGTTTTCATGTGCACGGGAGTTCCAGAAACCGAAAGAGCAGCCGCCCAGTGTGCATGCACATGCTGGGAAGATGATCTTCCAGTTTATGGTATATGCATGTGCATTGGACATCTGGTCTTCATGTGTATGCATGCCAGAAACCAGAAGACCAGGTAGCCGGTGTGCAAGTATGCACCGGAAACTGGAAGATCATCTTACTGGCGCTTCTGCAAGTGTGAAGATCAGCTGGCTGGCACACCAGAATCCGGAAGAAAAGGGGAGCAGAGCTGCTAGCCAGGACGGGTGGGCTGGGGCTTCCCTCCTTCCGGCCCGAGTGGGCTTCTTGTGTGGCTCCAGCCCTCCAGCTTGCAGCACCGATGTGTATCCATGGTCTGAAGTGCCTAGCCAGCTTGGTTGCATGGGGCAACATTTGCTGGCTAGGCGGCCAGTTGTCCTGCCTTCTCCTCCTGCCACCAGGAGGGGTGAGGAGCTGCCCCAGAAGGGCCAGAGGAGAGTGCAGCATGGAGATGTCACTGAGGGATAAGGGTATGCCAAGCCAGCCAGGAAGTGGGAACGCACTGCGAAGGGATAAGAGAGGGGGCTCCACTGGCTCTCCTGCCTCCTGCCATACCCCAAGCCAAGCCCCAGGAATGCCGATGCCCCTTACCCCGGAGCCTGGGAAGGGGCTCTGGCTTTCCAGCAGAAGGAGGCAGCATTCCCCACCCAACTTTCTCTCCCTGTTCAGGGCTGCAGAACCAGGTTGTCAGTGGGGAGGTCCCGCCACCCCGATGGGGACCAGAGGGACAAGCAGGGAGGCACAAGGACCCCAAAAAAACAAGGCAGACTGTCACATGCACACCAGACAATCAGATTTTGCGCAGACATGTGTGCCAGAAACCGGAAGACCAGGTGGCTGGTTTAGGATAAAACCCTGAGGTGCTGCACTGCATATTACTTTTCATATACACAGAGTTTCACAAAGGAGTATATATGGAGCATTGTTGTTAATTGCAAAGCCATCTGGTAATGCATGCATCCATTCCACATCATTCCATTTTATCAAGAAGGACCCCAAGGTCAACTTTCTCAAATGTCTTATCAAAGGCTAAATGTGCTACATCCACAGCAGTCTACTAATTTAGTTATTTTATAAAAAAAATATACAATTTTTGTCTTGACCTATTTTTAACAAATCTATGTATTGCCTCTAGTAATTGCTTTGTTCTTTTCTTGGTGTTTTCAAGTTTAATAATCCTATCTAGATTGGTCTACCTACAGTTTCATGAGTCCACTTTTTCCTCCTCTTTTAAAGATTGATGTTCTGGCACTTCCCCTATAATCCAGAAATTCTCAGAGATTACAGTCAATATGATTCTGACATCACACCCATCAGTTCCTTCATGATCCTGGTATGTAATCCATCCAGCTCCAGTGACTTGAATGGAATGTACTCACACAACCTCTCTACATTTTAATCTACATCTTTCCTTTGCCCCCCCCCCCCCCATGTGCAACTTCTGAGAGGTTGGGGCACTCTTTCTTTTTGCGTCACATTTTCCCAAATTAAGAGAGGTTTTTTTTTATTATGCTTCTAAATCCCAAACCCTGAGAAAATAACATCACTACATGCATACAAACAAGATATAAAATTGACACTAACATCTTAAAATTAATTTAAAATATTTTAATTATACATTTATATTAGATAATTAACTGACAGTTTGGGTATGACATTCCACCATAAATGTGAGTATATGGCCTTGAAAACATAAAATAATGATTAAACTGAAGATTGAAAAACTTTTTTCTTTAAAAAGTGATATACAAAGGTAGATTAGAAATAGTTTATTTAAGGCAAACATGATGATTTCTGGTAGAAGTGAGATGCGAAATTATTAATTAGATTAATTAGATTAGATTCATTAATTAATTAGAACATGGGGAAATTCAACCTAGAAATAACGAGAAATTTTCTGGCAGTGTGAGCAATCAACCAATGGAAGAGCTTGTCTTCAGAAGTTGTGGCCATCACTGGACACTTTTAAGAAGAGACTGGACTGCCATATGTCAAGAATGATGTAGGGTGTCCTTGGATGGTGGGTTGGACTAGATCACCTACAAGGTCCTTTCCAACTCTGTTAATCTGTAATTATCTAGTTTATATCTAATTATTAATATTAATTATCAGAGTATCTCATCTCTCCTCAAGCACTCATACCACTGTTTCCTCCCTTTTCCCCCAAGCATCATCTTGTGAGTTAGATTGGTCTAAGAGTGAATGACTGCCCAAAGTAGCCCACTGAGCTTTCAAGGCTAAAG